GCTTCCATGGCTTTGGTTTGTTTAGCAGTTGTACACATGTGCATTTGTGTAATCACAGTCAGATGATGGTATTATGGTGAATATACAAAGAAAAGGCTATATTTATAACAAACTGAGCAAAATCAAAGCGTAAAAGACAAAAATGATAAATAATACCCCAGTAGGAAGCTGTAATTTGTCATAAATCGTTGTATGCAGTCACAGTAAAAAATGTCAAAGAACATGACCATGTAGTGTACCTTTAATAAGTTCAGACAACCATAAACATGCTTTCTCACCAGCTAATCTTGTTGCTCACAGAACAAAAAAAGCACCAGCATGAAGTGAAACATTTAAACTTTACTTTTAATTATTTATGTATTAATAATGGACGAAGAATAACGCTTTTCATAGCAGTCAGATTTATCTATTGAAAGCAGAATTGCATATTGAAACCTGTCAACTCCTGTGTGAGGAAATAATATTTCCATGCTTCGTTTACTGTGGGAACATCTTGGCCTAGATGAAAATGCACGATGAGCAATCTGCATGATGAGGCACACAGTGTTCTTTGGGTCTAAGCTGAACAACATCCATCCCTGGAGAGTCCCATTTTTCTTAGCTGGTACAGTTTAAAGTAAGTGTGGACAGAGGGCCAGAACCTGTTCAAAGGCTGGAGGTACGGTAAAGGGATGAGGTTCTCTTAGATCATGCAGGTCTGTTTATTTAAGCCTCAAGTCAAGACTAATAGCCTCAGATCTGCAGAATGGAAATGTACCAGGTGTACCAGTGCTATTTTATGTATATATATTGGAAATTTTACATTTAATACATTAGGAAATTATATAAAAAGAAGTTAATTTGATTCTGATAACTTAAGTTGATCTTTAAGTTATGTAAAAATGCAAACAGTTAGAATATTAAGTGTCAGTTAAAATTAAAAGCAGTGCTTTTGAAGTTATACTGTAAACCCAAATGAGTTAGCAGAACTCAAATACTTTGACACAATCAATTTCCTCCACATTATCTAATCTCATCACTCAGCCATGCATTGTTAATAGCTTGACATTTACCAATAGTTGCAATCAATCTTGGCTTAAACAATGTTGTTGTTTTCTATAAACCTCAGAAGTTTATAGAGAACTTTAGTGGTCAAACAGCATCATGAAGAGTGAGAATAGCAGCAGACAGAAATGAGATACAGTACAGGATCAGTTTCCTAAAGAAAGTATGTTGAAATCCAAAAGATATCCCATTTATATTGTGCAGAAAACCTTTAAAAACCTTTGCAAAGCCCTCGAGGCACATGGCCGCGGAAAGTGGGGGTTCTGGGGGGACTGCAGCATCTCCTAGTGGCAAAAGGGAGATTTAAAAAAGCATAAAAAAACTTTGTACAATTAAAAATGTTCTTATAAATACTTTGGGAAATTATTTAACTTTTTAACCACTGTGTGTATTTGGATTTTAATTTAATTATTTCAAAGGCCTGATCAACGCAAGTTCATGGAAGTTACGTTGTCATGGCAACGTCAAGCAAGCTAGGGCGTGGTGTCCCGCTCGCGGCAGCAGACTAGTAAATGTACATAGTCTAATGACAGAAACAAGGAGGAAATATGGCACAGAAATGCATTTCTGATTCGTCCGCTTATGAGAGACTTTATCTCCACGACCCCAGAGCGCAGCTGAACATTTGGACACCTGTAACCAGGCATGGCACCCTGCCTGTAGCCAAAGTAACAGCATGGTGCCGCTGCACACTTTCATATCTATTTGTGCAGTTTAACATTACTAAAGTATTATAGAGCGTTATTTTGATCTTGTGTTCTTTGTGTAATGGATGCGGAGAACTGTTCAATAACGTTTTGCGTAAAAGGATTTTTGTGCTAATAGAGTCACATGTGACATAAACACAGTGACTCAGGTTCATACCAGCTGACCAAATCTATGTTATAATGTTATTGTGAAGTTTAATCAATAGCTCATTTATTCACCTGAGAAATTATGATGTCTGTGTGTTACAGACCCTGGTTGCGTGGACTGAAGTGTATAAGAAAATAAAGTGGTGAATTTTAATATATTTACTTATTTATCATTATTGTATTTTAAATACGCCTATAGGCTCATAGGTCTTTTGTCCAGAAAAAAAAAAAAATTCACCGCACCCCCTGTTGAAAAGTACTTCCAGTGGCCCTGAAGCAGGTCTGGAGATTCACAAAAGAAAGAGATTCAGATTACATTTGAGTGGTTCTGTTTGGGTCCTGAATGTTTTAGAGAAATTATGGCAGACACCTTTTATAAAGTTTTACTAAGTTTCACCTTCATTCGTTTATTTTTTTGCAAGGAATCCAAATACATTCTTGCACTACCTAACTGCTAAAAAAAGGCTTGCAGTTTTAATCGCAAAAAAAAATAAATAAATACGGTTTAACCTGTGAATCTTGGCGGAGATGAAAATACGCAGACACAACTCTTCTACTCATGTAACTTAATGTACTGGTTGGAGTTTCTCTATAACATAAGATATAAACAAAATAATTGTATGAAGTCAGAATTCTGCCACAAGGACACTCTGATAATAAACTACTCTTCGTGGGATTTTTGAATGTTTTATGCTTGCAGATTTAACACATTGAGGCCCAGTGCTCATGCTTCTTCTCTGTGCTCTCTTGCTTTATATGCTCCTGTAAATTCTCCCCGAATCACATGTCAACCTGTTTCTGTGGACTTATATCAACTTTTGTTACTTTGATAGTGGAACAAACCTAAGAAATGAAACTGCCTGTCATTCGCTTCTTTTCAGAAAATCCCACCTCTTAAAAAAAGTAGTTTACTTCCTAGTTATTGCTAATAATGTTTGCCAACCAGTGTCGGGCTAATAGCTGTTACCTTAAAGAGTCAAAATTGGTTAATTGACGTAAAATATTAAAAACATATTTTAACACAATTATGATTGTATTCTAACAGCAGTAATGTGCTCTAAAAGGATGTATTTTCAATTTGAAACCTTGTATGAGCTAGGCTAACGTTAGCTTCACTGTTTATAGGTTTGATTGAATTCTGGATTAATTTTTTAACTCAGACATTTAACATCCAGACATTTTTAATACATTTTCAGCTACTGTTATGCATTTTTTAAATTGCTAGTTGATAGAGATTTCTACTACTAGCCGCAACTACAGTAGTAGCCATTTAAAATGTCCCCATTTTCCTTGATGGGCCCTTGGCTGGTCCCCTACAATTCCTTTTTAAACATCAATCTTTGTACTTTTCTGTCATGATTTGTGGACATTAAGATGTAAAGGGAAGCGTCATCTCCTGGTCAGACCCTGTAATTCAATGAAAGGGTGGAGTCAGAGGGAGAAGGCTAGTGGCTGGAAGGTGAAGGGGATTTTGCTAGGAGTCGCAGGGGGGTCGGCTGCCATTCGACTGTAGTTTGACTGGGAAGGGCCATTTTAAATGGCTGCTACTGTAGAATGAAAACTGTACTTTGTCCTGAGAAGTAGCCAGTTGCAGGCACTTTACTTTCTTAGGTTGTTTCCAGCCTCAAAGTGAGAAAAGTTGACATGAGTGACAGAAGCAGGTCCACATGGGAGTAGAAGAGAATCAAAATAGGCATAAAAAGTGAGAGAGCGCAGAGAAAGAGTAGACTTATTTTAACACACTGAGGGACTTGTGTTGAATCTAAACACATAAAACATTACAAATGTGCATGGAGAGTAGTTTACTTGCATGGGTTTTAAGTAAGACAGTTATTATGATTATTTCTTACATGTGTGCACTTCTTTAGAATATGTGGTTCCAGAGATATTAATACTTCTGCAGGCGATACAGAAGTGTTGTCTTCCTGTCACGGTATTAAAACTTCTGTCAGAATTTCATCTGAAACCAATCGACCTAGTTAAAATGTTTAACCTCTGCTACAAAATTTTAATCCCACAAGTCTCTATGATACATCACCTCTATGTATTTGTATAACTGCACATTTGAAGTTTCAACAAAAACAAAAACTGATAATGAAAACATAGTGCAGTACTACATGAGGTAACATCGCTTCCAAAATAACCTTACCAAAGATATTTTGAGTTGCATTTTTAAAATGATGAGTAATGAAAAAGAAACATTTTAATTGAACCAAAGTAATTTTATAAGAATCTGACCATTGGTACTTGAAGTAAACTTTTTTTTATATATAAATCTTTAGGTTGAGTCCTAATGACTAATGTATTAAAATTCAAAATCAAGCGGAGACATGTGATAAAATCACTTCTTAGATGTTCAACAGCATGTCTCTCCATAAATTGCCTTTATTATCCAGTTATGTGATGGAGGTCAGTAATTAATTAATGAACGGTACCCCGTGAGAGTTACATGGACCTCATCCTATTAAGAGCACATGATACAGAATGTAATTTGTCTCCTAAAGATAATTTTCTGGCTGAGCTAAAATTAGGATTTAATTTAGGAACTGACCTAATTTTTTTGTTCAAATGAGAAAAAAATAAAAAAAATCAGCTCATGAAAGGCACTCAGTGTGCCCAGTATTAGTGAACAGAGGAAATAGAACAGCTTTAATGCCTTTATTCTTCATTTTAAGAAAATTTATTGAAAAATATATTTTCCCATTGTAGATAAACCTGCTGATTATATATAACTCAATTAAGCAAAGCGTACGCTTAAAGATTCAGATGTAGAAGCAATAAGAGCTGAAATATCAAATGATAGTTGATTTTTATCCCATGAAACGTCTCCTTAAATCTTTTACTCAACTATACTGTAAGTCATGAATCTCTATACCTGAATCTGTCCTTCTCTCCTTTTCACCCCACTCCTTCCTCCTGCTCCCTTCATCCTTCCATCCTCTCCTCCTGTATCCTCCTCTCACTTGGCCTCACCTCTCCTTCCACATCTCCTATCCTTCCCTCTTTGTATTTGCCTGTCCCTCCACTCCCCCGCCCCCTACCCGCCACCCCCTCCTCAATGGTGGTGCCTGACAGTGACTTTGCATCCAAAATGAAAAACAGGCAGATGGGCACTTCCGGTGGGGTGAACATGACCAAGAGCACAAGCATCAGCGGTGACATGTGTAACCTGGAGAAGACGGACGGCAGTCAGTCGGACACGGCGGCGGGCACGGTAGGCACTGACGACAAGAAGAGGCGCTCCAGCATTGGTGCCAAAATGCAGGCCATGGTTGGCATGTCGCGCAAGAGCCGGAGCACCTCACAGCTCAGCCAAACAGGTAGGAATGCAGACATAACACCTTTTTTCATACTCTTTAACAAGATGTTGACATGTGCGTCCTGTCTTGACTTTGTTCTCTTTGTTTATATTTATTTTTCTCATGTTGCACTTTCTTTTTAATCTCCTCATCTTCTCAGCTTTTTCATTTCCAGGGCTTTGGACTTTTAGGGACCACACTGTTTAATCATGTAAGGTTTCTCTCTTTTCTCTAGGTGACTGACATCCTGGATGCTTTTTCGTTTTCTTACTTTACTACAGGTTCTATACCTTCTATTCACTTGCAAACATACGGCGAGTTTTACTTATTGAGCCTCTGCAGATCTAATTTTTCCTTTTCACTCATATACATATTTTACTCTTTCCCAATAAAGCCACTGGTTGTATTTTATTACGTTTCCCTTTGATGTTTTTCTCTCTGATTTTCAGTGGTGAAAAATAGTAAACCTTTTGGAGTGCAACGTGTTTTCCTCTGCAGCTGTTTGTTTCTAAGCCTCCATGCACATTTAATGATAAGTGGCTGCGCTCTGCTTAAATTAATCTACAGTAATATATGTTTTTTAAGGGGAATAGATACTCTATTCAAATTAGCATTAAAGGTATTTGTTTTAAAGTGTTCAGGGATAATTAATTTACTAATTGATCAGTTACATTAATTACAAGGTGCTTAACTGAGAGGAACACTAAGCCTTGTAGATGTGGGGCAGTGTTTTTTTTTTTTTTTTGAGTTTATCGTGAACTTAACGACCCCAAAGTGACCTTTTAGCTCAAAGATGGTTGATTATTACTTTATTTACCAAAACATTATAATAACGGGAAGGTAAAGTGAGATGCTTGTATACAGAGAGGACGGATGAGTGTTAAAAAAAGCGACTGGAGCGAGGCACTGCGCTCACGTGGCATTGTGCTGTTCCCCGGCTCATGAAATAGATGGCACATGGACTGCAGGCTTATCTCTGTTGGTAAATAATCGCATCACGTTTATTGTAGCAGTTTTGAGGGGTTTTTTTTCATGCAATTTCAGCTGCCGTGCCGGGGGACATGTTGCTTTGTTGCTAACATAAAGATTCTCCTGCAGTTTGATAATTTGGTTTTACGAATAGTTCACTGATGCGTCTGCAGTTTCTATTCTTTTTTTACAGAGAGAACTATGAATGTTTTGGTTTAACTAAACAGGCTTTGTCTGAAATGATTATTCAGATTAATCATGATTAGGCAATTATTTAAATAATCCTAAGCTAATATGCTAATCAAATCATTACCTAGAGTCTGCAACCTTTATAATCCCTAAAGTCATTTTGCACGAGTCCAGCTGATTGTTTCGGGTTGCAAATATTGAAGCTTTGTTGACTGATTATGTCCTTTTAATAAAACACAACAAAAAACATTGTTTGTTTTAAATATCTGCTATAAGAAATTTGTTTCCACTTTAAACAACCAACAGTTTATTTATATTTTTAATTGAGTTTGAGGAAAACCTTAAAAGGGTTTATAGAGAATAAGCACAGATTTTCCTTCAGAGGATATGACTTGATTTGAATAAAAAAAAACAATTGAATTTCCAAGGTAACAACAACAAGAATTTTCATTAGTTGCTTCTTTATAACATGTTGTGTGCCACTATTAAGAGCCATTGTAGAGGTTCCAATGAGCGGCTTGTGGCTCCGGAGCGGCAGGTTGCAGACTGCTGATCTGAAAGATGCCATTTGCTAAAAGAATAACCTACAGTACTTAAGTCATTAATTGAGACAAAAGTAAAAATATAAACTATAAACATAAAATCAAAATGAATTTCAATTAAAGTTCTAAGTTCATCGTTCATAGTATATAATTAAATGTAGGTTTGGCCATTTGGAAATCATAAAATTTTAATTTTTTTTAAATTATATTTTTAATATTTGTTTATTTATATATGTCATATTGATCAAAAGTATCTCTTCTTAGATTAATGGAAACAAATAATCAATATAATAATCGCTTTTTTAAATAATCACTAGGTTTAGCCCTAATGCACACTTTTCTCTTTCCTTGCAGAGACAGCAAAACTAAATATCTGCATTTAATTTAATTCTTCTCTAAGTTCAGTTTTTAGAGACTGCATCACTGCCCGGCTGAGTTTTTTGATAAAAAGTTGTTTTTATTTTTGGCTTTCATTTCAACAAAAACTGGTCCAGTTGCCCTCTGCCCTACTTTGTTGTTCACTGTTCCGAGTCGCTCAGCTCAGCTTCCACTTGGCTGGTGCACGGGGGGGATGGGGTTGGGGGTGGAATTGGATTCACCACTGTTTGCTGGTGAAGTTTGAAGAGATCAACCAGGCAGTAAAAATGCAGCTTCCTCATACACAGGTTAGTTTAATGCATGTGGTTCTTAGTCATCACCTAGAACCCAACTCTGTTTTCTTCTAACAATTTTGAGGAGGGAAAAGAATTGTGTCTTTTCAAAATATAAATAATAATCTGATGCAACAGAAACGATAGTAATTTTTATTGCTGTAAAGTAAAAATAAAAATAAAAATACAAATAAAAAATAAAAATACAAATAAACATGCTAGTTGCAAAGTCTTCATCTTCATTAATACAGCTCTGATGATCAGGGTGCAGCTTTTGGATAGATTTCAGGGAGTTGTTGTTGTTCAGATGGGACATAACCAAGGAGCAAACTGGAGTTGACTGATGTTAGGTAGATTAAAGTAGCGAAACGGAGAGAAATTATTATACGGTTTGAATAATTTTCATCCAAAATTAAATTAATGCGATTATTGCCGTTGGAACAATGACAGAGGATGGACAGAGAATCATGCAAGAGGAGGAGAGTTTAGTGTTGGAGGTCATGGATGAGTCTCCTCCATCATACATTTTTATTTAGAGGAGGAAAGCGGGGATGAAGATGTTGTGGAAGAGGACGCCAGGGCGGCAGAAGCTTGGTTTGGTGTAGAAGGCTTCCAGCCGTACATGTTTGAGCCCTTGCCTCGCAACGCTGCCAGTTCTGTTAGCTCTACGCCTGCTGAAGACACAGACGTCCATCCCCGTGAACACTGGGACGGAACTCAATGGGAAAGGAAATTATTCTAATGTCTTATTTCAACCGATGCGTATATTAGCTGCGGCATATGAATCAAGATGCCTGACCAAAAAAATTTGATTGACAGATGACCGTTGATATATGATTGGCCAAATTTAGGTGTACAGAATGAAATATAACTAACTGGCCTGCATAAGATAATGAAAAAAATACAACATAGATTTTAATACAGGATTTTTTTTAAATAGAAATGTTCTAAATTTGCGACAATATCGTCTAATAAAGAGTACATTTATATACATGTTTAAGTCAGAATGATTTGACATTTAAATATGCTTTCCCTACAACTTTAATATATGTCATTTGGATGTCTGTTCTTTCTCTATTTAGCAAAACATAACCATGCAAGAAGCACAGTTATATTTTCTTTCCCTCTACTTTTGTTTGTAGCACTTTGAGATACACTATGTGGTGCACTATAAATATTATTAGTATTGTCATTATTATTACTTTTATAGTTATCATTAATACTTCCATCTCCATGACTTTGAACCTCATCCTTCTTTTAAAGCCAGTCTTTAACTGCCTGTAGAACATTCTATCTGTTCATTTTAATCAGTGAAACTGATCGGTCTGCATGTCTTGCCAGTTGTGCAGCAAAAGTTTGTAGATCACCACAACACACCCATTTATTGCTGATACAAAAACTACAATTTACATGCAATTTAGAGCAGGTTATTCTAACAGTTGTAGATGAGGCCTCTATGTGGCCATTAGGGAGAAAAGAAATAAAAAAACATAAAGGGGCAAGAACAGAACCTTTTGCCCTGAGAAAGAAGGGATTGCTTGGAAGATAGTGTAAGATTATACAGGCACGTTTTAACCCCAAAAATCAAGCAATGTCTCTCTGTTAAAAACCTACTGTCTTCCATCATAATATGCATTTGCTTACCTTTATTACTTTAAAGAGAAACACTGCTAGAGTCACAAAGTTGTGTTTCTTTACTGACTCAGTTCTCTCTTACCTATGCTGTATGTGAAGCTGCTTTCTACCGTGCAAAAATAGCTGAACTCTGAGCCTCTAGCCGTGGTGATTTATCTTCAGTGTTGAAGTTGGTGCCATCTCAGCAGCTCTTTTGCCTGCTGAGTGTGTTTATTAATCTGCTTTGGAGCTCTAGCAGACACGCGGCTGTCAGGATCCTACATGATCAGGACTCGGCGGCACAGATACACCAAAGGCTGAGTGAAAACAGTTCTCCATGGCTTCATCTACTCTAAAGGACAAGAAATAGTAAACAGTACATTCTGCTTTCAAAAAAACACATCCAAACATCCTTGTTTTCAGAAAGCATTAAAATGGAAACTGAAAACGGGCATCTTTATTATTATTATTATCTTTATTATCAGACTAAACAAAACTGTGCAAATGTATCCCCATTGTTTTTATATTTTTAGAATTGCACCCGCCCCTTCCCCCATTGGTTTTTTCTGTGGCACAATAGGGTTTCTATGCAGGAGAAAGTAGTCCTTCTTGACGCCTACATAGTATTCTTGGAATAGATATGTGGCACCAGGGCTTGACTTTAGCTCTAGCTGTTCCTCAGCATTTTCACTAGACACAGGGCTATTGTTGGTTAAGTATGTGATTAAAGCAATGGCGTCTAAAGTTTACTTGGACTAGACTTAAAATGTTGATACAAGACAACATCAACCATTTTTTTTCCCCAAATGTCATAAAATTTTCTGGAATCAAGGTTCTATATTCAAGTTTGGCATTTTTTTCTATGCACTGGTCCATATTTAATCTAGTCGCCCTTTTGTGTCTGTCACCTTTTTTATTCCTTATCTCAAACTCTCGCCTTTACTTGGTGAGTAAATAAATGCACAAGAGACTTATTAATTACTCTGAGCTTTGCTTTCAGAAGCTTGTTTAATGAACTCAATCTATTGTAAATGGTAACGGTTCACATTTTCTTAGC